GAAAGTGGTCTCAAAACAGGAAGGATTGTGAGCCAGGCAGCAATCAAAGCTACCACACAGGCCATTCAAGGTGGTTCAGGCAGTTTTGGAAGTCGTAAAAGAAAAGAGGAAGTTTCTTCGCTAGCATCAGGGTCAAGGGGTGCTCAAAGGAACTCTAATTGTCCTTACCCACCACTTCAGAGACAATCCATCTATCCTCAACATTACTACCCTTATGCCCCTCAATATCCAGTATCTCCATCTCCATACACGGTCTTCAATGCTCAGTCATATGTGCATTCTCCCAATCGCCCACATTTTCGGGCCCCAACTCAAGGAAACCTTCGCCCACAACGACCACCCTATCAGGTCCCTTACAACCCTTCTTCTATGCAAAATTATGCTCAAGAGCAAGGACAGAAAAGGAAATTCACTCCAATGGGAGAGTCATACTCCAGCTTGTTTCAAAAGTTAAGAAAGATAGGAGTGATTGGGTCTATCCCACCACATCGTCTGAATCCAACTGCTCCAGGTTTCCAAGCCAATGAAAGATGTGAGTATCATTCAGGGGCCCCAGGGCACAGTACTGATAATTGCTGGACCTTGAAGGGGGCGATAGAGAAGCTAATTGATCATGGAGTAGTCGTTGTGACAGATGATCAAAACACTCCCAATGTGACTAATAACCCACTTCCAGCTCAAAACAATTTAGTAGGTATGATCTGCGATGATCAAGAGTACAAACTCCTTGGCAAAATGGGAAAGTTGTTTAGGAAGATCGGAGAGGAAAACAAGCCAATGAAGAGTTTAGAACCAGTTGCATCTTTAAGTGTGGAAGGTGTCAACCTTGATACCAAAGTTTTGTGTGTCCCGGGGGCTTCGAAAGGGATTGAAGTTCGAGCAGGTATGCCAAAGTTGTATGTATCAAAGGTTTTCATTAACGCAACAGGACCAAAATTGCTTGGCAAAGTTGAAAGGACCTATCTTTGTTAAGCCCGTCCAACAACTTCCGGTAATTGATTCAAAGGCTGTCCCTTGGAACTATAGTAAAATCACTGTGGTTTACCGAGGAAAGGAGATTGTTGAAGAGGTTGATGAAGCAGGAGGGCTGACACGCTCTGGAAGATGTTATTCTCCAGAAGAATTAAGAAAAGGGAAAATGACTCAAAACATCCAAGTACCACTGAAGAAAGCAGTTACTGAGGAAGAAGCAGAAGAGTTTCTAAAAAAGATTAAGGTTCCAGATTACTCTGTTGTGGAGCAATTGAAGAAAACCCCGGCACAAATTTCATTGTTGTCTCTACTCTTGCACTCAGAAGAACATCGTCGTGTGTTGAGTAAGGTTTTGAATGAAGCACATGTATCGAAAGAGACCACGGTAAATCAGTTAGAGAAAATGAGCAAGCGCATCTTTGAGTCAAACGCCATCACTTTCACTGATGATGAGTTGCCCACAGAAGGAGCTGGACACAACAGAGTTTTGCTTCTTACAGTGAAATGTGAAGGGTACTGTGTAAAGAGGGTCATGATAGATGGGGGATCGGGGGTAGACATATGTCCTCTCTCTACGCTGCAAAGCTTGAAAATTAGTCTTGACAGAATTCGCCCCAGCAATGTATTTGTTCGAGCTTATGACGGCTCAAGGCGGGATACCATTGGTGAAATAAAGATAAACATGACAATTGGACCGGTGGATTTTATGATTGTGTTCCAAGTAATGGACATGGACACATCTTATAATTTTCTATTGGGAAGGCCATGGATCCACGCGGCTCGGGCAGTCCCATCAACTCTGCACCAAGTTGTAAGTTTGAACACAACCATCAGGAAATCATTGTGCATGGGGAAGATGATTCACCTATTTACAGAGATCCCTCCATTCCATACATTGAGGCAAAAGAGGATGTGATTCCGTTGTTTACCAGTCTTTTGAGGCCGTATCAGTCAATCGCTTTAGAGAAGGAGACCCCCATTATCCAACCATGTCTCTCTTCTTCCTCTTCAATGGTAGCAACGACGATGCTCAAATATGGTTATCAACCTGGTAAAGGTTTGGGACTATCTTTGCAAGGAATTGTGGATCCCATTACTCTTATAGGGAACCAAGGCACCTCTGGCCTCGGATACAAACAAAGCAAGAGAAATGAAGATAAGAGTAAGAACCACAAAGGGACTGATTGGGCGTTGCCACAACCGATTCCCCATATTTATCATTCCTTTATCAAGCCTCAGGGTCCAGAAATGGACGTTTCTTTTACTCATGAAGACATTGAAGAAGTTATTAAGGATCTCAGTCAGTTGTTTTGTGAAGTAAACATGGTCCAAGTTGGTGAAGGTACAAGTCATGCCGATGTGCAGCTCGTGGGCTCAGGTTTTGAGCTAAGCAATTGGGAAGCCACTCCTTTCCCCATAAGGAAGGAGTCTTGGTAGTTTGTTTTGCTACTCTTTTGTATTTTGTTATTGTCAGGGTTGTGATTCAAATATTTGAAAGTGTTTGTTTAATGTCAACCCTTCTATCCTTTTTAATTTCAATGAAATGAAATTCCAGCTTCATAGTAATATTTTGTCTTTTCCTTTCCCTGATTCTTATTCTTCTATTTTTCAGTTCTATAAATGCCGACTTTGATAACATGACATGCATGCGGAATTCACTCCCAGATCTCAAAGAGTTGTTTATTCTTGAATCCCCGAATCGAGAGGTTGAATATGATGAAGAAGAGGCTTTTAGGGAAATTAATAGGGAATTGGAACAGTTTGAGCACAAACCTAAGCCTAATCTTAGTGAAACTGAGGCCATCAATTTGGGAAGTAATGAGGAAGTCAAAGAAATAAAAATAAGTCTTCATGTCAAGAAGGAAATTAGGGATGCCATAATACAACTTTTGTTTGAATACAAAGATGTGTTTGCTTGGTCCTATGATGACATGCCAGGTTTGAGTGTTGATTTAGTGGTCCATAAATTGCCCACTCATCCTGATTTTCCACCCGTCCAACAAAAAAGAAGGAAATTTAAACCGGACGTGAGTGAAAAAATCAAGGAAGAAATCATGAAACAACTGAATGCGAATGTGATCCAAACCATTCGTTACACTACTTGGTTGGCAAATATTGTTCATGTGCCGAAAAAGGATGGAAAGACAAGAGTTTGTGTTGACTATCGGGATTTGAATAAAGCTAGTCCAAAAGACAATTTTCCCTTGCCTAATATCCACATTCTGGTGGATAATTGTGCCAGACACGAAATTCAATCATTTGTGGACTGCTATGCGGGGTATCATCAAATCTTGATAGACAAAGATGACGCTGAGAAAACTGCTTTCACCACTCCATGGGGGACTTATTGCTACAGAGTCATGCCATTTGGTCTTTAAAATGTTGAGGCAACTTACATGAGGACTATGACCACCATGTTTCATGATATGATACAAAAGAAATTGAAGTATACGTCGATGACGTAATCATCAAGTCT